CGCCCCGCTCTGCCCAACCGCCGCTGGGCGCCGAGCGAGGCGAGTCCCGACGCGGCCCGGAGCGTCCTCCGGCCGGGACACCTTGGGTTCCTCCCACCCCACCCCCGGGCCGGAGGCCTCGGTGCCCCCAGCCGAGCACCTCGGCGCCACCCCCACCCCTTCTTCCCCTGGGTGGCTCTCGCCCTCCCGGCTGTGTCCAAGAAGGGAGTTTCCTTTTCCTGCCCCTGCGCCGGCTCGGGTCCCACCAGCCCGCTCCGGCCCTGGAAGGATTGTGCCAGAGCTTAGCAGTCCGTGGGGGGAACGGAGATCGCCTGTCCCTGTGGGTGTCCAAACTTCACCGAGGGCGCAGGAAACCTGGGCTTGGGAATGTTCTGGCCCCGTTCTCCAAGTGGGCTGTAGAGCAAGGGGAGAGAGGAGGGCAGGGTGCGTGTTGCTGTGTCCGTGGTCACATTTGGTACGCTTCAGGCACACTTGGAGGGGAAAAGTTCACGGCGTCTCCTTATTCTGTAATCAAGGAAGGGAACTTGGGCAATAGGGAACTTGGGCGGATTTTTGCAGTCAACACCACGTTATGCAAACGCAGTTAAATCTATGAAACAGATGTAAATTTCACAACATGGGTTATAAACAATCTGGTATTTAAGTTAGTGACATAGGGTAGCAACAGCATTCTCTTCTGTAAGAAGACGAAAATAATGTCCCATGTGTCAGAATTACAGCAAACTATATCTCTCTTCTGTTACTTCGTTTCTTGTACCCTTTACCCTAATTTTATTGGCACCGTTGTCCTTGGCAAAAGGATTGGAGAGTTCCCCCAAGGTAATGACTGCCTAGCTTATGAAAAATAGTGTGATGAACAGTTTGCTGGACATTTAACATATTAGCTGCAGCCCTCTCTGTCACCTTGCTAGAGAGACATTGTGAACCCTCCTCTGTATAAAAGGAAGCAGCCTCAGAGATGTAAATAACTTGCTTGACTTTGTGTGGCTAGTGTGGAACTAGTTGGCCTCTGGCGTACCACTGTACTAGAAGCTGATTTTTCTCAGAATGAGCATTGCAGGCTTAGGATGTGTAGAATAGCAATATGATGTGGCCTTAGAAGAACTTAGAGATCATTTGGTAAAATCTGAACATTTTATTATCAACAGCGAATAACTCTTAGAGATGGGAAATTCCAATTCCATCTAGCTTTTGATTTCCTGGACCGATGTGATGAGTGACAAGCTAGCTGCCATACTTAACCCTGTTATCCTCCTTCCTTCTCTGAAAAGTATGGTTAAATAAATGGGAGGTGAAATAAAAAAAAATTTTTAGACTTAGCGTTGACTTCAGTAGAGGACCAGAGCTTGTGGTATTTTTTGTTTAGTGCTGGTTACCTGTTAAGTAAAGATTTGACACTACATAATGCTATAATTAACTGTGTTTCAGACACATAATGCATTCTGCCTCAACAGGGCACATTTACGAAATTCAATCCAAATTATTGAAAGACTCAATTTTAAAAAGTAAATCTAGAAAAACTCTTTAAGAGCTGAACTTCCCAAATGAATTTTAATTGCTTATTGTTTCAAGTGCTTTTGAAAGAAGGCTTTTAAGTTGTATCCTAATATGTGAGCTGGTAAATAATTTTCAGTCTTACTCAAGCATATGTTCCATGTTTAGCTTCCGTATTAGGAACACCACTGATGAGCAGCTAATAAAATGAACGAAGTATCGCCCTCATGAAACCCAGAGTCTAGTGGAATGCAGCCTGTGACTGTACCGGGGGTTGGTAGCCAGTGGGGTGACAGTGGACATGTTGCAGCAAAGGAGAGCTAGGCTTGCCATTCTAATAGGCTGGCCTTAGTGGAGCAATGAGACACAAGGAGATGTAGTTCTGGGTGTGTGTTTGGCTTTTATTTTGGAAGAAAGGCATTCTAGACAAAAGAAGCTGGGGCTCTAGGGATACTGGGGAGACTGGGTGGGAGAAAGCTGTGGCCACAGGGTAGGCTAAGGGTATTAGTGACTTAGTTGACAGTGTTGGCTGTCACATTAGCCCTGGAGCATGAAAAAGATGTGTGAAAAATGACTCCTCAGATTTTGGCCTCAACCATTTATTAAGAAGGAGAAATTTAAAATGGAGAAAATCTCCTTTTGTATTTAGTGTCCTTTTATATTGTCTACAACTGTTAATGTCACATGCTGAAATATTCTGGTTAAACCTACAGTTTGAGGTTTGCTGCACAGTTTTTCAGAAGAAGAGGCCAGGTAGTTGAGAGTAGATTAACAGAACGGTGGTAGTTGTTGAAGCTGAATTGTGGGTACGGGCTTCTGAAGTTCATTATATCGTTGGGTTTTTTTTTTTTTTTTTTGTCTGTATGTTTGACATGCTCCATAGTGTTTTTTTAATAAAGTTTTTAAGGAAAAGAGAGTATTTCTAAAATAAAACATGAAAGCTAGAATGCTGGCATAGTAGTTTACAACACAGCACTGTTTTCTTATTCCAGCATGTAGGCAGTTTCCTAGTTACTGCTCTGAGCTATGGTGATATGAGTACAGTGCCAAAGTGCCGGGTTTCATGCTAAGAATAGTTTAAGAGCTGTGCCAGTGAAGAATGGTAGACAGAACTAGGCCCTCTCATTTCCAAATAATCTCCTTTCAAATCAAATTGCACTTTTTTTGGTTTTTCAAAACAAGGTTTCTCTGTGGAGCTTTGCACCTGTCCTGGATCTCACTCTGTAACCCAGGCTGGCCTCGAACTCACAGGGATCCACCTGACTCTGCCTCCCAAGTGCTGGGATTAAAGGCATGCGCCACCACTGCCCGGCTTAAATTGCACTTTAAAAAAAAAAAAAAAAAAAAAAAAAAAAAGGAGGTCATTCCCTGGTCAACTACTATAGGTACTTTCATTTTACCTAGACATTTTCATTAGAAATTAAATTTCTTGTTTTAAAAAGAAATGTGAGTTCAAAACTGTTCAACTGTATAATAGGTAGATAAGTCTTGGTACTTTTATAAATGTTAGGGTAGAATGTATAAGTGACTAAATGTTACTAACTCATCCAATGTCTAGTATAATGCTCCCAACTCCGACGGCCGCTTCCTTAAATTTGTTTAGAGAGAATATATAATGAATTAAACTTTCTATCATGTTGTTTTACTGTGCTACAGATGAAATTAGTATGAAAAACTGTGTATCAGATTATACTTTTTTTTGAGAAGTTGGGCCCCCAAATGTAAGATCATGGGAAATTTCTATTTTTCTAAGTTTACATTTTGATAAAGAAATAGAAATATAACATTAGCAGTGTTACTCTGTATCTGCCCTAGCCCCCTCCCATTTTTTTATTTTTTTTTAATTCAAGATAGCATTTAAGCCATCTTTAATTGGGTAATTAACTGAATATCCTACAAGAAGCAAAGACAGACATGCAGTGCTGTAAACAAATACACAGCACAAGGAAGCACAGAGTGGGGTGTATTTGGATTATGGCAGTAAAATAAAAATTACTACCTTCTTGTGGTCAGCATAGTAATTATTCACTCCCAAAACTGTCACCCTAGACAGAATGTTGAATCACTCCAATCCTCAACATATTCCTCACTAGAATTATTGTTCTTACCCTGTAGGTTTTTTTAAAATCTGATATAAACAAGATGCATATACCTTAGTATATGGATTTTTAAACACAAAGTAAGCCCTTATATTAAGAAATTCAGAATCATGACAAAGATGCATTATCTTCTTGGGGAAAAAAAAGAAAACATTATAGAAATAAGCTAGGCATGGTTGCACATACAGTGCCTGAACTCAGCAAGGTAAGGCAAGAAAATCAAGTTGAAGACCAGCTTGGGCGTACATACCACAGCTATCTGCCTTTCAATAATAACAGTAATGGTAAATTTGTTAAATTTTTTGAAAAAGAACAAACCTGTGTTTACTGAATCTGAAGCATAAATGTGAGTATAGTGAAAACAGAAAAATGAATGTGGATGTGGAACGTTTTGCTGGTCCTCAAATACCTTGCTCGCTTGGGCCTTCCTCCAGAACTGTTTTCTAAACAGGTTTTCACATTCAGACTCGTGGGGAAACTTACCTTTTATTCTAGAGGAGTTTGCTGTTACTTTTTTTGAGGGTTGGTTTTGTTCATTGTCTTCTATACTAAAAAGCAAAACCTCATTTTTGTAAATTCTTACTGTGTAAGTCACTGTTCTAGTTTGCTTTCTGTTGCTCTAATAAACACATAATCAAAACCAACTTGGGAAAGAAAGGGTTTATTAATCTTACAGTTCACAGTCCACCAGCAAGGGAAGCCAAGGCAGGACCCCACAGCAGGCGCTTGCTGCAGAAACCTAGAGGAACATTGTTATTCCTAGGCCCATACACTGCTACCTTTTCTTAGAGAGACCAGGTCCACCTGACTACAGATGGTTCTGCCCATAGTGGCCTGGGCCTCCCTACCTCAATTTACAAGAAAATGCCCCCAGACATGCTTACAGGCCAATCTGATGGAAGCACTTCCTCCTTTGGTTTTCCTGTTACTGGGTATATGAAGTTGACAACCATGATTAGACGTCACTCTTAAGTGTTTATTTATAAGTTATATAAGGTTTGCTTTTTCTTGTTTCTTTGAAGACTCAAACTCCATAGCAAATACATGGCTTGTTGTAAATATCATCTTTGCTCTCTTACATTCTCACTATATTTTTCAAGACCAAAATATAAAAAAAATTAAATGATAAGCCAACAAGCCTGCTAACCTGAGATTATGAAGTATTTTTCCCAAATAACTAACTTTCTAATCATTAGCTCTCTGAAAATACTGTCACAAAACTTGCCTGAATCCATTTTGTCTTGATAAATTCAGTAACTATTTCTTGAGTCACTATAATAAACACGTTTTAATAGTTTCTAATCTGTACTTTAAGTCTAGTATTTCTAAAATGTTAGATAAAATTGACATTTTGCATACTGGAAAGGGCCCTGTATTTTCCTAATCCTTGGATAATGTGTTTCAGTTAGTTCTGCCTATTAACAGAGGCCAAACTTGTTACTAGAAGAGTACCTCACACAAAGACTGGCCTAGTAAATAATGATTTTTATAATGATGTTGACCTCTTACTAATCTATTCTTTGGAAATCTAGTCTTCATTATAACAGAGATTTCTAGAAGGAAATTAATGTTGGATATGCATACAAGTGGCAGATGAGCTGCTCCTTCCTCACAAATGGCATCTCTCTAAACTCTTCACAGGCTGGTCCCTGCTTTTCTTTTCTTTTTCTTTTTTTCTTTTGGTTTTTTGAGACAGGGTTTCTCTGTGTAACAGTCCTGGCTCTCCTGAACTCGCTCTGTAGACCAGGCTGGCCTCAAACTCACTGAGATCCACCTGCCTCTGCCTCCTGAGTTGTTTTTTAACTTATTTATTTATGTATATTTTTATGTATGACTGCTTTGTCTGCATGTATGCCTTCATGCCAGAAGAACGCACCAGATCCCACTATGGATGGTTGTGAACAATCATGTGGTTGCTGGGAATTGAACTCAGGACCTTTAGGAGAGCAGCCAGTGCCCTTAACCTCTGAGCCATCTCTCCAGCCCTGGTCCTTCCTTCTTCCAGGCTCATTTCTTCCCCAGTGAAAATGTCCCCTATTCTCCTAATTCCTCCTCTTCCAAATAGTTATTCTTCTCCACTTAGATTTAATATGTCACTCAGAAAAAGAATCGCCTATGTTGGTCTTATGTTGAACATCTTTAAACCCTTGCATGCTTCTTCTCTGATTATTTAGGTTTTGTTTCTTCTTAACAAAAATGTTAGATTCTGAAGAATAGAAACTTTGCCTGTTTTGTTGGAAACATAAATGCTTGCCCTAGTTAGTACTAAAACACACACACACACACACACACACACACACACATATACACACGCGTTCTTAATATTTATTGAGGACCAAGGAGGAGATGGCTCAGCAGGTAAAATCATTTGTCAACAAGTGTGATGATCTGAATTCTACCCCCAGGACCCATATGATAGGAGAGAAACCTCCTTCTACAAGTTGTCCTCTGCCTGCCACATGTGTGCATATGCATACACACACACACACACACACACACACACACACACACACACGATAAAATGTAACTGAATCTGTAAAGGAAGGCTATTTGTTGATAAAGGCTAAGAGAAGTTGTTCTTCCTGGTCCCCCTTAGTGATGTTCACTAGGTATTTCCTTTCTCTCTGTGCTTTCTGAGTTTGACCTTGCCATTGGAGGTGAAGTTGTACATGTACAATTCGAGTGTATTCCTCTCCAAAAGGTCTGCTGCTTAGAACCCTTGAGAATAAGTAAAGAATACTCTGTAAAGGCTCTGTCCCAAGAATGAGATTCCAGTTTACATGACTGACCTTGGAATCGGGTTTGCCATAATACTCTTGCAGACAGAGGTTCTAAGTTCAGTTCCCAGCACCCATGTCTGGTGGCTGACAACGCCCTGTAACTCTGAACTTCAGAGATCCATTGTCCTCTTCTAGATTCTGTGGGCACCTACACTCATATTCTCTCTCTCTCTCTCTCTCTCTCTCTCTCTCTCTCTCTCACTCACTCAACACACACACACACACACACACACATATTTGAATTCTTTTTTTAAAAAATCTTATAAAAATACTTCTCCTGTATGAATAATGTAGCAAAAAGCCTATAAACACATTGTTAGAGCATACCCTGAAGAAACGACCTCAGTGATGCTCACTCAGAAAGTTCCATAAATGTGTAACTGGGGTATGATTAAATTTATAAGTAATATATAAGTCATAAAAATTAAGATATTTCAGATTTTAATAACAATGACCAGGCTTTAAGCTGATATTTATTTCTACAATCTTACTTAATCCTCAAAATACTTACTGTTTGGGAACCCGAGTCAGGAAAAGAGTCAAAACTATTCTGAGCTACACAGTAAAACCATATCTCAACAAGATACAAAAGGAAAAAAAAACACTGAAAAGTTTGCCAGTGTCAGTCAGCATGCATACAGTCAGGATCTGAACTCAGATTCAGCCAACTCTAACCCCAGTTTTTATGTTAGGAATGTTTATGTACCATGAAATATAGAACTCACATCAAGCATTTTAGCAGAAAACATAAGATAGTCACCATAGTGCTGTAGTAGGATGTAGGAGGGTGATGAATTACCATAGACGCACATGGGCGTGCACACACACACACACACACACGTAAAACATTCATAAGCAATGGCTTACAAATAGGCCTGGAGCGTAATATTTACATGTTTAGGATTATTTGGATTTGAATTTGATTTTCACTATTGACAATTTCCTAACATGTGCTTGAGGTGTGTTTATGTATTTATATACTTATTTTAAATAATCACAGTTTACAGAAGAAAAGCTCGGACAAGCAGAGAAGACAGAATTGGATGCTCACTTGGAAAACCTCCTTAGCAAAGCCGAATGTACCAAAATATGGACAGAAAAAATAATGAAACAGACTGAAGTGCTGTTGCAGCCAAATCCAAGTAAGACACTTCACTTCTCCTCTGCCTGCGTATTGCCTGTCAGTGTTTTTAAGGTTGAAAGCAGAGGCTGTGTCTTCCAGGTCTTGGGCTGTTTTATTACGTGTGATGTGGGTTAGGAAGAGATGGTGCAAGTTTCTGTATACCTCCTAACAAGTTTACAGAAACACTTATTAGAGGTCTCATGTTTTCCTATAGGTTATTACACTTGATTTTCAGACAACCAGAGGGTTTAGGATCACAAAAGTCAAAAGCCTTGCAAATGAGGTGTGCACTAGTACTTACAAAATGGAACTGCTAAGTAAGCCTTTTATGCAAAATAGCCAGCTAACTAAGTGGAGCTTCAACTAGGACCCAATGTATAGACATCTAGTCTTTTTAAGTGACACCTTACATACCAAAACTAAAGGGAAAAGGCAGCAATGCCTGTTTTCCTTCCCCAGTGCTATTGTGAACACACTGCAAAATTCCATAGTCTTAAAGTCCAGCATTATAAAAATACTAATAATTCTATGCCAGCATAGTAAACTGTAGTAACTTTTAAAAAGAAGTATGTAAGCCTTGAGTGAGGCTTCGTATCTTTAGGCACCATGAACACAGTATGATGTTTCTTGCTCATTAAAGAACATTTAAGTTATACACAGCTATACTTTAAAACTACTTCTTGTTTTTTTCTGCCCAGAGGTCCCACCCACATATGTAGAACAGTCTGTATACACTGTTTTTCGGAATGGCAAGTAAGCTCCGTGACTGGCAAGTAGAAAAATATAAAACAGTCCCCACAGTATCCTCCTCTCCATTGTTTTCCAAGAAGTAAATCAGGTTGATTGTTTTGTGCTCTGATTGTAAAATTGTATGGACTTAAAGGAATCTTTTATTTTCCCTGAAAGTCCTAAAAGTTTGATATTTTTAAAGAATATTCATAAATACATAATGTTATAGCAGATTTGCCTGCATATTTTAAGATCTGGTGAATGACTTAATGAAATGAAGCAGTGTTTACTAATATACTACATACTTTACTTACTGAATCAAAATCATTTTAGAATTCACCATTTGACTTTTGACCATATAGGTCAAAGCAATTATAATTGAAAATCACAATCAGAAACTTGAAACCTGATCAGCTCTCATGGGTGGTTCTTTCAAAATGATTCATTTTTGTTGTCAGTAAAGGTTTTGGATTTTTGTATTTTGTTTTTGTTTCGAGGCAGGGTCTCACTGTATAGCTCTGACTGGCTTGGAACTGACTAAGTAGATCAGGCTGGCTTCAAACTCACAGATATTCTCCTGCCTCGGCCTCCCGAGTTCTGAGACTAAAGGCATGAGCCACTACACCTGACTAATTAAAGGTTTTTAAGTTCTGCTTTAAAATACTTGTGGTTTTGCCGCAGACGCTGCCAAGAAAAGCAAAAATTATTTTGACATTGTCTAATTCATATATTTTGTGTATTACAAACTAGCCCTCTTATGTATTATAAATAACATTATTTTAGCCAACTTATAAAGTATTTCCATTACTATTTCAGGACCTTTAAAAAAAAAAAAGAACCCTTTACTATAATTTAGGAAGATAGCAAACCGTAGTCTGTGACTGCCACACGTACCTGCGTGTGTGCATGTGAGCGCAAGTTTTAGGTGTCCTACTATTGATGGATCTGAAAGCTGGTCCAAGGTAGGACGGTTGTGTCCCTTAAGAGAGAATTAATACATTTTCATGCTAAAATGTGTCAGATGTGGCTCTTGGATCTTAGATACTTTGTGTCTGTATTTCTGTGGCTGAATATTTCTAGTTTTAAAAGGATGGACATACCTTTCAAGTAGATTAAAGGCAGCTTCACTGGATAGTAAGTTTATAATTCCTCTTTTGAAACTTAAGATCTCAAAGAATAACTAAATACCAAGTTTAACTTTAGAATGTGTCTGTACCAAGATACAGTACCAGGTTTCTGAACTATAAACCTTTAAAGATTATATAATAATCAACATATAATTATATATGATTAGACTTAAAGATACATACTTGAATAAATGCTAATTTTATATTTTTAAGAGGTAGTAAGTGGCTGGAAGGGGAACAAACTCTTAAATAATATTTCTCTTTTGTAAGAATTGCTAATGTATTTTAAATTCTTTTCATTTGTTTTGGTTTGGGGGGAAAAGGTCTTCATTGTGTAGTCAAGACTGGCTGCAGACTAGAGTATTAACCCCTCCGTTTACCCAGTGCTGGAGTTCCAGTATATCCACCATGCCTGGCTTTTTCACTTGTTGAAACACTGGTATTTCTAACCTTTCTCCTAGATGCCAGGATAGAAGAATTTGTTTATGAGAAACTGGACAGAAAAGCACCAAGTCGTATAAACAACCCAGAACTTTTGGGACAATATATGATTGATGCCGGGACTGAGTTTGGCCCAGGGACAGCTTATGGTAAGTGACAGTGAAAGGTTCTGAAAGGAAGATTTTTACATTGAGATTTTTACTATTTAAAGATATCAGCATATGGTAGAATCAGTTTTAACATTGTTTATTATGTTAAAATTTTGATGGAAAAAATACATATTTAGAACATTCACAGCTTTCTTAGATCTAAAAATTAAATGAATTCATGTTCTTATTGGTCTTCATTACCTCTGTTATAAGAATATACTGTAAATATTTCAGTGTTACATACATATTCAGTTGACTGGTGGCATTAAATAATATTTAGGTTTATTTCCTTCTGACACAAAGAGAATATTCGCATAGAAACTTGAAGTAGTCCTATGCCATAAGAAAATTAGGTCTGGTAATAGAAACATGAACTTTGAGGTCCGTGTAGGGCCAGAGATGGCTTAACAGGTAAAGAAAGGTGTTTGCTGCCAAGCCTGACAGACTGAGCTCGATCTCTGGGACTTGTAATTGTTATAATGACTTACATTAAAATTTTCAGTGCTTATTTGTTTTATATTAAAAGTACTTCGCCCACAGTAAATGTTCGGCCATATTCCTTTTTTAACTTATGCAGGGTCAGCACCCAGAGTATGTTAGTAGTCATCTTCTCCAGATACATAGACTGCATTGCATTTCTAGTTCATGTGTCTAGCATGTGTTTACAGGTGGCCCAGCTTTGATAGCTCCTGTACTAACTTACATTACAGTTTGATTGCTCTGTGTACTTGTGTGAATGTGGGTATCTCTATGGATGTGTGTGGACATGCCACAGTGCTTATGCAGAGGTCAGAGGACAACATGCAGGAGTTGGCTCTCTTCTATCATGTGGGTCCCAGAGATCGAGCTCAGTCTGTCAGGCTTGGCAGCAAACCCCTTTCTTTACCTGTTAAGCCATCTCTGGTCCTACACGGACCTCAAAGTTCATGTTTCTATTACCAGACCTAATTTTCTTATGGCATAGGACTACTTCAAGTTTCTATGCGAATATTCTCTTTGTGTCAGAAGGAAATAAACCTAAATATTATTTAATGCCACCAGTCAACTGAATATGTATGTAACACTGAAATATTTACAGTATATTCTTTGTAATTTTAAATCTTTGAGAAATCGGAAATGATTAAGTTTGAAATTAAATTGTAACTGCTAATTTTCGAGAAACTTCATGTTTTATTGCTTGCTTGTTCTGAGCTCATAAAGACCCAGCTCCTTTCTTTACCTAGTAGAGATCTTCTAGTAGAACATGACTGTTAAAATATTGTAGATTTTCTCTTTTTCTTAATCTATTTGCACTTCTAGTAATTCTGGTGAATGTATCCTGGTACTTGAAATTAGACTTTGAGAATCTATTACCAGAAAACAATGGCTAAAAATGATTGTCCTAGGCATAAGTCTAAGCACATAATAATATATTTATTTGTTATCTTGGTATATCCTCACTTTTTTTCCTATCTTTTGGAGTTTTGAGACAGGATCTTGCTATGTAACATTGTTAATAGTATAAATTCTATCATGCCCATTTTAAAAACAAGGGAATTTAATCTGTGAGCACACTGCTAACAATTCAAATGCAAATGTCTGTATTCAGAGCCAGGAGTTCTTAACTCCTTCCCAATCTGGATCTAATCTCATTTTAACATAAAAGGATTAAGATCTACAGAACCCAAGTTTATAGGAAGTAGAACTGGAAATAGAATCCTGTTCACGTGGTTCTCTTTCTGTGTGCTCTGATCTAAGTCTGTTTAAATATCAGGGCTTAACTATTGTGAGACATGAGCCTGCCTGGACTTCTTCCTCCCTCTCTCCCTCCCTCCTTCCCTCCCTCCCTCCCTTTTCTTGAAGTAGAAAGGGTTTCTTTTGGCCCACACTTGCAGATTACAGCGGGGTCATGGCAGGGAAGTCACAGCAGTCACCTAAGAGAGATGGTTCATGCATCTGTGTTAGAAGCTGAGGTGAATACTAGTTAATGCTCAGTTCCTCCTCTGTTTCAGAGTCTGCAGTCCCTTGGAGGGAAGAATTCCACCCACAGTGAAGATGTCTTCCTACCTTAGTTAACACCCTAACCACAGGCATGCCCAGAGGCCATCTCCCAGGCAGTTCTAGATTCTGTCATGTTGACAATTAACACTAACCATCACACCTAGCATATGATATCAAAAATGAATGAATTTCACATAAAGCTTTTTAAATGTCTTCAAGCATTCTCAATTTGATGTATAGAGTTTCCTGTAAGCCATATGATAGTTTAGTGAGTTCAAAAAGGTAGAGCCCCTTGTTATGGGGGGAAGAAAGCTCAGAGGTCCATGGGTGCTAATTGCCAATGGACAACATGCCTAGTAAATGGGGCTCCTGGGAGTTATAGCGGTATCCCCATTTTCCAGTACCCCCACACTACCCCCTAGTGCCTCAACATGAGCTGCTTTTAAGATGTAAACTCTTATTTGTGGATATCTCAGGTGTGTATGGATACAGAAACACGAGAGATTGTAACTTGGTCTACTTGTTAAATACTTGGTTTTATTGGGCTCTATCCCCAGGCCAAGTTTGTGTCTCCCGTGTATCTGTCCTCTTTAATCTCACTGTTAGAAATTATAGTTATGATGTGATAGGCAGGTAATTCATCTTTGTCATTTTCATTTAGATATTTACTGTAAATTTACTTTTAAATAAGTACACCTTTCAAATAATGTTTGATTCTGAAGTAAACAAGCTGACGACTAACTTTTGAGCAGATCAAATAGGTAAGTTATAGGATTAATTTTCTGAAATTACTAGACATAGTTTTAAAGAAACTAACAAATGATTTTTTGTTCATTTGCAGGCAATGCCCTTATTAAATGTGGAGAAACACAGAAGCGAATTGGAACAGCTGACAGAGAGCTGATTCAAACATCAGCCTTAAATTTCCTCACTCCTTTAAGAAACTTCATAGAAGGGGATTACAAAACAATCGCAGTGAGTTGGAAAATAACTCCATTTGTCACATAATTCAGATTTATGCTTAGTTTTTAATGGATAATCTACCCTCTTAGTGATGGTAAATGTTGCAGATTAAAACACTTAAATATTCTGAACAGACACAGAACACAAACTAACCCTCAAGCAAAGGCTGTTAGTAACCTGACCCCCATATTTTAGTCCCACATTGTTGATGTGTATGCCTGTACATTGGTTTTCATGCATTACCAACACTCAAATCTGTGGAGAAATTTCTGTAATGATGATGAAAACAAAACATCATTATATATACTTGCATGTTAATTTAAACCAGAACTAGAAACCTGCTAATTATTTCTGTTCCTATACTTTATCTGTGTATTCCAAGAAGTGTATTACTTTTAAATGCCATTTATTGCATAAGCATTAAGTTGTCACTTTCTTTCAAAACATAATCTGTTAGTCCATAAAGCTTGTCTTATTGCTGACAGAGAAGGAAGCTCTCAATGGATATCGTTCCATAAAACTTTCTCAGTGCTACTCATTGTTGTACATACAACCTCAAACTTTAATTAGCATATTCTATACTACAGAATGTCCTAGGAAGTATCAGTATGCTTAACCATAGCTCTGCTCTGGATATATAAGTAGTTTGGGCTTGACCTAAATTGATATAACTGAAAAAGATACTAGCTTAAGCCAAGACTATGGCTCAGTAGTAAAGTGCTTACCTAGCATGATGAAGGCTGGGGTTCAGTCCCTTCCATTAAAAAAATAATAACATGTCAGTAGGATGAAATCTGATATATGGAATATAAAAGTTAAGAAAATAGACTCTTATTATAGTTAGTATGAAGTATTATACAGTAACTTGAGTTATGTTTATGTATTATTCAGTCTGTAAATTTGAAATTCTGTTTTGGAGTAGTTGAGTTCATTTGATGCTACAACATATTAAAAACAGCCTGCCCAGTCTGTAAGGGAGATCACATAGGGCTTCATAGAGCCATGTCCTAGGCCTTTCTAACAGTCTGAAACAACTTCTCAGCCTGGCCACCTCCGACACTGTAGGCCAGATGGCTCCTGGTTGTGGGAGCTGGACTGCATGTAGGATGGTTAGCAGCTTCCCTGGCTTCTGCCCAGTAAATGCTATTAACACCCCCAGCTGTGACAACCAAAGATAGTGCCAAATATTCTCCAGAGGGAAGCCTGGTGGGAGGATATAAACATACGGCAAGATACTAATACACCTTCGTTTCTGGGGTTCAGAATCTAGGATGTTTTAAAGTAGTATTAAAAGCGTGGGGAAGGGGAATGTCAGGTAGAATATGCCTGTAATTATAGCATTCAGAAACCAGAGTCAGGAGGATTGTCACAGTTCAGGGCCAGCCCAGTCTGGTCTACATAGTGGATATCCTATCTCAAACAAGCAAAAAGGAAAGACACCTGTGGGGTCACTGTACCGCTTTATGATCTGGTGCACATACTTCATACAGGGTGATTCCTTAAGTGTGGATGGTCTTATGGGTTTTAGCATCCTTAGCTTTACTTTGTTCTTTTTGATTATTTATAGAAAGAAAGGAAACTATTACAGAATAAGAGACTGGATTTGGATGCTGCAAAAACAAGACTTAAAAAGGCAAAGGCTGCAGAAACTAAAAGTTCAGTAAGTAGTGTATGTTTATCTGTTTCTAGTAGAAAAACATTTCAGCTTAATAACTTCAAAGAGGGTGAAGTATTTTACTAGTGCACCGTGACAGATACAGATTACAGAGTAATATATGGCGTTGGGGTGTATTTTTGTTTTGAAACAGATTGATCAGAACTAAATATAGCCGAGTCAGTACAAAATAGTCATCATCAAGAGGCATTAACACCAACACTGAGGTAGCTCCTACAGCTGCTTTGTACTTCATTCTTAGTGTGCATGGCTAATACGCTTTTCTAAAGACATTATTATAGTGAGAAATGGGGAAAGATCTTAAGACAAAAATGAATCAAGTTTGAGAATCATTGCCTATGGCTTCAAAGTAAATAATTTTCTTTCCATATCTAACTCAAAATAAATAACGAAATTGTCACCAATAGTTCCAAAAGATTGAATAGTTAACATGGTTTGCCAGATAGCTTTTTTGAAGAGGAAAATCCATATGGATAAATAAGTTCTGGTATATTTTTTAGAAAATCAGCCTTAATATAGGTTTTTTTTTAATTGTTTATGTATTAATTGTCTATGATAGTTCAGTGCTTTTATGTATAACTATTATTAAAAGGTTTTAGTTTTAGTTTTAAACTTCAGTTAATCTAATAGATTAACTGTCTATTTTCATTCTGTTGTGTACAGTACTTAAATTAGATTTAAATTGTAACAGTTTGAAAAACAAGTGTAAGTTTGTCAGAAGAAGCTAACATTTTAATTTGAGCATAGAAATGTGTTTTATTAAGAAGCATAATATCTGGACTCTCCACCACAACCACAATCATTTCATAATAAGCTTATACCTACAATGCTAGTGATGCCGTATAGTTTTCTTTGATGAAAGAAAGGTTGAAAATCAGTGTATAGTGAAATGGATCCTTTGTTTTTGTTACTGCTGGGGAAGGGCTCTCTTTGATAAGATAGTAACTGTAAATTCACTTCTCAGTTTAGCATGACATCCTCACCACAGTGTGATTTCTATTAAACTATCTGTAAAATTAAAACTTATAAAGGAATGCTATGGATGACAAAAGACCCTAAATTAATTTACTAGTTTCTAGTTCTTAAGATAAATGAGTTAATAGGAATTTACTTTTAAGATACTAATTTTATAATCAGGAAAATCTTAATAAGGATCATTGGGAAAAAAATTATCTGGAGTAGAAAAAAATCTTTGATGATTATAGAATAAGAATCATATTGCTAGGTTCCATTACAAACATTTATTTAACAACTATTATGATGATAGTCTGTCTTTCAACCTAGAAAAGTGCCAGGAAGCACACAGATGTGACTGTAACTGCCCTTTGATTATACTAACATACTGTAGCCCACTATGAGGATACATAGGAACTACATATAGTCACCTTCTGGAAACTGATTCTTCTTGATACATGGGAAAGTTGTTGGCAGTTGATACAACCCAGAAAATTCATGTTCAGAATTAAAAGATGATACAGGTGGGATAGCCCAGCAATTTATGTAAAGTTTTTTAGAATTGCTACATTGTACAAACAAAATTATCTGTAGCCAAATAATAAAAATATTAATCCTTTTCCTTATATGACTCATTCTTTTTCAGACATTATTGCCATAAGTCTGAATTACTTTTTGTTCTGTCTTTCAAGTAAATGAAAATGATAGAGACCACTGGAAGTTTAGTTTTGCTTTTTTCTCCTCACCCCCCCCCCCCGCTTTCTGATATATTTCTTGGTTTTGAGTTGGCACGTAAAGAGGGTATTTCTTACCCCAGATATTGTTGAACTTCACTGTTGTGTTTTGTTGTTTAATGTGAATTATGTTGTGACTGCCCATTACTGTCCTAGTAAGGGTTGGAACAAGGTTTATCTCTGCTTTCTAATAGAGTTCTTACTGTTTGCCTGTTCTCACTCTTGAAATTCTCTTTGTATTGAATGCTTGGAAGTTCATTAACATTGCAAAATTTCTGCTACCCTCAATTCACAAATTATTAGATTAAACTTTTTGATGATTTAGCCCTATCAGTGGAAAAAAAAAAAAAGGAGTTTTTTTACCTACCTATATATCTATCTACCTGTATCCAGTATTGACTAATTTCTTTTTACTGGCTACTGTATTGAAGAAAGGTAAAACAACATCAAAGACAGGTCTCAAAATACACCAGCTTAGTGAAAAAGAAAAAAGCTACTTGGCTTCACAGTGAGTAAGAAAAAAAAATTAATAGCTTGTTGATACAATAAGACTTCTGCTGAGAATGTGGCTCAGCCATAGAATACTTGCCCTGATTCTGTTCCCTGAATCACAAAATTAATAATAATAATAATAATAAACAGACATAGATACACCAGTAATCCCAATACTTGGGAGTTAGAGTTCTCTCCAACAATGAGGTCAGCATGGAGTGAATGAGAAACTGTCCAAAAAAATCCACAGCAAACAATTATATCAGAGAAGCAAGGAAAAACTTGAATTAGTGCATTTAAAGTATGTTTGGTAACTTAATCATAATATTGGCTTTTCAAATTTTTTTAAGGAGAAAAGAAGTAGTTTATAGTGTTTTCTAGCATTTAAAGGAATCTGAAAGAAAATGGTCCTTCAGATAATTCACATAGCATATGCTCTATCTGTAGACTTTAGTATTGCCACAGTAACCTATAATCCCAGTAGGTTAGAGCGTTGTTCTGTATCCTTAACATTACCTGTACACATTTGCATTTTCAGTTTGTTATAAATACAGACTGCATGCCTTTCGTAAGTATGAGGAAGATCTGTCTGAGAACTGAAACAGAAAATGGTTAGAGGTGCCAAAAAGTCAAAAAATAGAAAGGCGCTTTAAATAGAAAGTTTGTTGGTATGAAGTAGGCTTTCATAGATGAAAATATAATTTTGTTAATTTGTAATTTTTAAAGAGGTATGCTTCCCCTAAAAAATGTCTGATTTGAAATTAAATATTAACTGATTTTTGTTTTGACAATTCTGTATCTTTGGGTAGGCACCATTACATGAAATATGTAGAAAAACAGATAGTTGGTTGTTGTTTTCAATAGAAAGAACATCAGCTCTCTTAATGCCTGTTGAGCTTGTGCTTTATTGTGCAGAAGTAATTTGTTCGGTGTGTTCATGGGTATAATGTGTTCTTTGTCTCTCATCTATGCACTTAAGCAACTAAACTCCGCCCGCCTTGAAGGAGATAACATTATGGTAAATTTCTCTTACATGCTCAACTTCCTGCATGTAAAATGGCTGAAGGTTTGTTGGCCTACTGTGTTTTCTACATCTTCAATAAAATGCCTTCTCTTGCTATTAGCTGCATGGAGAAATCGAAGTAGCTGAAGTTAAGCATTGATTATGTCTGGGCAAAAAGTGCCAGTTGAAGTGATACTGAAACTTGAAGAACCACCAATTCATTGGTCATGCCAAAACAGATTTTAAAACCATGTAGGTGTGTACAAAACAGATTTTAAAACCATAGGTGTGTAACGCTGTTTGACATCTGGTAAAAGATGGTAATTTAGTGTTAGTTTAGGCTGAAGTTTCAGTGTTACTCTTAGTAATGAAAATTAACAAGACTTACCTTACTTGGAAAACAGTAAAAGATTACAAATTGACTTCATTTTTTTTTGTTCTTTTCTTTTGTTTAATAACTTTATTATTTACCATATTGTTATTGGAATTCAGTATAGCATCATTTTTTTTTTCTGCCATTCCAGGATTAGACAAATTCCAGTGGCCAGGCCTATTCCATATCCAGTGCTAACTCACTTAGAATTTCAGAATAGTGATAGCCTGGAATAAGAGAATGAAAATTGTTTATAATAGCTAATGTACATATTGAGCTCAAATTTAAGAAAGTTTTGAGATGTTAGGTTTGTTTTTGTTTTTTGCTTTAACGAAATAAAATTATATGAATCTAGAAAAGCAGTTAATTCCTGTTAGTCTCTAGCAAATGATAGTCCTTGGGGCTAGTTACATGGTTCATTCAGTCAGTATCGTGCTAGCCATGCAAGCATGAGGAACTGAGTTTGGATACCCCAGCACCCACATAAAAAAATCCATGTATTGCCGTGCTAATCTACAACCCCAGCACTGGAGGTTCAGTAAGGGACCCTGGTCAAAAAATAAGGTGGAAAGTGATCAAGGAAGACACCTAAAGTCAGTCTCTGCCCTCTGCATATAAGCACCACTGCCACCCCTTTATACACACACACACACACACACACACACACGCACGCACGCACGCACGCACGCACGCACGCACGCGCAGATAAATAATTCTTGGAATTATAGTCTAAATAAATTGCCGCCATTTAAAGTAGTGAGAAATCAGTAGTCTACTTAATAATTAATGGGTCATCGATTGATTGCTTTTATTCTATCAGCATTGAGCTAAAAGCAGAAAAAATAAACCTGATGTTTTGGTATTTGCCTTTGTTTCCAACTATTAGTTTTTGAAGCCCTGGCTGAATTACAGCTTTCATTATATAGCAAGAGAATGTGTTTACTTATTTCCATTGTCCTATCTATAGGTAATTGCAAAGGGTGAGACTATTTCAGTCATTTTTAATTTTGTATAAATCATAGATTTCCTTTTGTCCATGGTAAAAATAGCCTAAGCAATTAGCAAGACTTTGCTTGATTTATTAAAAGCATTTTGTTTTACAGCTATTTTTCATCTACTTACAATAAGATATTTAACTGGCAATCTTAAATTTATTAATTTCAAACTGATTATTTCTCCCAAAAAATAGCTGTATCAATAACATTCAGTGTCTATATATCTTTGTTTTGTTTTTATTTACTAAAATTTTAGAATTTATACCTCAAAGAGAGGTTAGAAATCATGTAGTTCAAACCTGATTTGACATGAGAAACTCTGTAGGTTCTCTATGAAAGGTCAGGTATTCTCAATTTGGGAAAGCTGTTACTCTTATTTGTAGAGTTATCATAAGATTTTGAAGTTGGTAGTGTTGATACATATAAAAGGCAGATTTCATAATATATTCAGCTATGCTGATTTATATTACTGCTGTGTTCACTTTGTAAGGGGGAGAGTATGCCATTTAAATTAAATACATTTTTCTATACTAAGTTGTAGAAAATGTTAAATTCATGCTTTATATTTCTCTCTGATTTTTAATGCTGGCTAGATTTGGGCAGAGGAAGTGACAAAAGTAAGTAAAATTTTAAACTACAGAATTGTGAAACAAGAATTTAATTGACATTCATTCAATAAACATTAAGAGGGTACCAGCCTTGGAGCCACTCACAATTATGGTCTATGTTGCAAGTCTATTAAAATCTGAAAACTAAGGAAATTATCAAGTTTGTTTACTAATAGCAGTTCCATACGGCAGTAGAATGGTGTCCCAAAGATGCTGTATACACCATGAGGAATCCTAGACAACAGTTGAGCAAGTGGTACTCAAACAGTGCCTTGCTAGAAGACAGGTGAAATACTTGATTTATTCATTGACAGTAATTTTTTTCAATGATATTTTAAATGTAAAGAACACTGAATGTTGTGACCTCTATCTTCAGAGAACTGGGTTTTAGGGAAGTAAGATGGGTCTCCTGAACACCAAATGAAATTTTCTGTCACTTTAGTAGAAAATACCTATAAAATGTATAGTTTATAGCTGCATAAAACACAGCATAGCAAATATTTCATTTACAGTCCACATCATAATTACAATTTCATCATTGTACAGTGTGGCAGTTGGATCTTTGGACTTGTCTTCTCCCTTAGTGTCATAGTGCTCCTTGTGAAAGCTGTCAGTCTGCCTGTTGTCAGCTGTCCCTCTTCCCCTTTGCCATCTCTCACTTTGTCTTGGCTAGGAAATCAAGTTTTAACTCAAGAAATTAAAGAAGAAAATTGTGATTTTAGTGTAGATTCATATCAAATGTTACTTTAGGTCTTCAGTCATTTGTCATTTACTCCCCAGTCTCAGACTTACCAAAGTCTGCATTCCAAATGAGGATAATGTTGGTAATTGAGGGCAGGTACTGACTGTGACCTCAGATATTTAAATAGCTTGGAAGCCTTAACTTTTATTTTATCAGTTATAAAATTGCTGATTTGTTGCTAGAGTTTTCCGCCTTGCCCACAGTCAGGACAAATCTTTGTCACCCGCCAGTCCCACAGCCGCTCAGACCCAACCAAGCAAACACAGAGACTTATATTGCTTACAAACTGTATGGCCGTGGCAGGCTTCTTGCTAACTGTGCTTATAGCTTAAATTAGTCCATTTCCATAAATCTATAC